GTCTTAGAGCATTAGAAGAAAACTCCTGAACAAAACCATACTCAGGTTTTTGCAAACACATAGCCAGCCAGGACTATGCAGTTCTATAGGTGATTGACATTTGACATGATCAGCCATCCAGGCTTGGAGAGCAGACTCTATACCAGGTACAAGAAGTCATCTGCACTGTAGAATGAAGAGATGGGAAGCATGGGTGTAGACAATTACTCAGACCGCTATGGGGACATAGAGGAGAGAGGGGAGATGGAGGAGCAGGCTTCACTGGCCTGTGAATTTTGTTTCTTTAATTAATTAGGTGTGTGTGTGTGTGTGTGTGTGTGTGTGTGTGTGTGTGTGTGGGCGCGCGTACATGTGTGTGTACATGCGCGCGCGCGCACACACACACACACACACACACACACACACTAAGATGGAGCCTTCTGTGGGATGTTGGAGAGGCTTGGTCTCTAGATATGAGAAGAGGGAATGCTACCAAGGGAGGTGGAGAGCCAAAACCAGTGGCTGAGGAACAACCCTGAGACATACAGGTAGATCTTTTCATACTCCGGCCCAAACTCTCCTAACACAAGGCCCTGGCATGCATACTATTTTTTTCCACACTATCAGGAAAGGTTAAGACAAGAGAGGATGGAGGGCGGTGTATGATGGAACTAGAAGTAAGATGAGGGAAAAATAAGATGAATCCAGAAAGTGTACATCTGGATCCGCCTCCGCAGCTGTAGTAGGAGGTGACAGAAGACATGGGTCCTCCATGAGGAACATTCTGTTCTCTGGGATGTTAAAAGAGTGTAGTGGTGGGCTGACAGAGGCACTGGAGAAGATCGGCTGACCGACATTGATGAGAAGCCCTGGCACAGGTTAGGAACGTCCAGAAAAGCCTCCAGGGCTTTCACTTTTACTAATCACAAAGGAGAAAAAAAAAATTCTTAGAGGCATGGCAAAATTCCTGAATCAGCACAAATGAGCAGGTAGGTGCCATGTAATTCCCCAATCAAGGCTGTTGATTGTGCATGCCTTTCCTTTAAAGGAAAAAAATCTCTGTAAGAGAGAAACAGAGAGATAGAGATGGGACTATCCTCTCTCTATCAAAGTGACCAAATGACGATTTCACAGGAAAAAGCTCCAAGACTTGCCAGAAGATCTGAGTCGCAGTGAATGTTAGTGTTTGGCGCAGAAGCAGCAGCCAGAGACAGCTGTGTTTCCCTGCTCAGGTCCCGTTTGTCATGTGCATCAATTCCTCTCGCATCTACGCTCTCTGATGGGTTTATGTGGCCTGTGATTAATGACACTTAGACATTGACCTGGTCATATTGTCGTGATAGACAGTGCCTTTCTACTCTACATGCCGGCTGTTGAAGCTGTCCATGAAAAACAAGCCCCTCTGCTGCTCACTGGCCCTGCAGGCCACTGTCATTGTCCACTCTTTCTGCTAGCAGTTCCTTCTTGAGCTGAGATGAAACTCTGCAAAGTGAGGAAATTGACAGGCATCCCCACAGCCCAGTAGACCACTGGAGGAACATAATAAAACTCTGGGCCATAAAGTTTACTTAGATCACATCGCCTTTCTAACTAAATATATAATGTTTGATCACAATGGTGTGGCATAGAGAAAAGGAAGTTGACTGCCAACATTTCTAAGTCTATGGCCTCAGACAAGTTAATACACACCTGCGAAATGGAAACAAGAGCCCCAGCAACTAGAGTGTGGGGGACAACTAGAATGAGATTATGTCATTTTTCACTGTCTGGAATACATTGGGTTTCTGCCCTACCCTCATAACTGTGATGGGGTTCACTGCTCTACCAATGATCTCAAGCCTTGTTTCTGGGCAGCTGTTTGTACGTCTCTAAAACTGAGGTATCTTCTGCACAGGTAAGGCTGACTTGGTAGAGATATTTGAGCTGTAAGGAAGCATTTGACAGTTAAAAAGATCAGAGATGGAGTTCCAGACACACACTGAAGGAGAGTCATTTATATGGTTAACATGGCAAGGCACGGAGGTAGAAGGTGAACTGAGAAGAAAGCCTGGGTCAGACAGAAACAATGAAACCTCCCCATGCTCCTGGCACTTCTTCCAAAGTGGTTCCCAGACCAATACCCCTCACCTCTCTCCTCTTCCTCCCCCTTCTTCTCCAACATCGGTTAACATCCACCTGTTACGGGAGTGGGTACCTGTGGGGCAGGAGGCCCCAGAGTCTGTCTTCCTTGGACAAGCTGAAGCAGCTTGCTTGGTGGCCTGGGCTCTCCAGAGTGCACCTCTAGGATCAGGTGTTTTTCTCCAGGTGTTTGCCAGAGGGGAGATCATGAAAAATCAACACCAATCAGGGCCATCTCCTTGGAAGCTGAAATTATCTCACAGGCAGATCAGAGCAGGTGCAAGGCTATTTTGGGCTAGCAATCACTGCGTGCAGAGGAGGATGCATCACTCCTGCTCTCCAGCGAGGCAGCAGCCTAGAAAGCATCAATTACTGAGAGCTGCTTCCAGCTTATTACATCTCCTCCAGCACAAAACAGAACTGTGCCTGGCAGGGTCAGTGCGGACCCGAGTGAGGTCTTCTTTCAAACTGATGAAATGATAGGGACTCGGCTTTCTGGTCTAAAGAAGAGCTTCTCTCACAGGATAAAGTTCATATTTCTTCGTTTGGAATTCAAAGTTTCTGTGATTCTAAGCTCCGGATAGCCTGGGTTCTCCAACGCAGACACTAAGACTCCTCAAAAGGTGGCTTCATTTTAGCTCAATAAACTAAATCTGCCACTGGCCTTGGCCCAAACTCCTGTTCTTCTTTTCCCAAGAAAAAATTCTTCCATGTGGCTTTCAGGTTCTGAAAATGAGGAGCACTTCCTCGCCTCAGGAACAGGCCAGCCCCCACATGTCTCTCCCTTTCCCGGCTCCCTGCCACTATCACAATCACAGAAGCCAGCAGCGCGATAGCCCTGGAGGGTCTTCGCCGTCAGCGATGACCGCCTTAATGTCCAGGGTATACATCTCTAAAGAGTGGACAGGCATCTGGGCCTGACGTTTTCAGGTCTGCCCTCTTCCTTGGAATAGTCAAAGTGCTTAAGTACTGTTCATTCCACCCATCTTCTTCCTACCCTCGAAATCAGCGCTAGCCACCCAAACTACCAAATCCTAGTTACCGGTATAGACAGCAGCGCCCTGTCCCCTAAGGGCTCTGGAGACTCCTCTTGTCCTCTCGTAGTCTGTTCCCGAAGATGGGCCCCGCCCTACTCCTGTGCCCCTCCTGCCTGAAGGGCAAACTGGGATCTCTGTGTGTGTTCTGTTTGCTTAAAGGCTCTTCCGCTGGTGGTCTGGTTGCCAAGGGAAGAAAACACTTGCATTGTAAACTGAGTTATTAAAATAGGTACCCGCCATTCTTGCCTGTGAGAAACCAACAATCTAAAAACACATCACAGAGAGACAGGGCATTTGAAAAGACAAGAACAAAGAGTTAGACACCATATGAAAATAGCCCTCTAAACACTCGAAACGGGGAGGGAGACTTTGGACTGTCACATGTACAAAGCTGGCTGAAAGCAGCCTCCCCTCTTTTCTCCCTCTCCAGAACCCCTAATACCTCCACTTCTTTTCCCTAAATACTCCTCCCATTCCAAAAGTTAAACCTTCAAAAATTGAAATTGAATCCAAAGATCAGCATCCATATCCAGTGCTCATTCCTGTCTCTGGAACTGGGTATCACACTGCCATTCCCATTGGACCACCCACCTGGAGGCTCTGTTTGCATCCTCTAAGGCCTGGGACTAGATAGTGATCTGGGTCTTTTCCCTAAAGGAGACACCTGCATTGTGGTCATTGTGTGTTTCCCATCCCTTATTAGAGGATTAAGCCCCTTAATAGTAGAGACCACATCTTATTCACCCCTTGATGGCCAGAGGACACAGTGCAATGCCTTTGGTTATAAAAGAACAGACTTTTACTAACAAAGTGAGAAAACTATTATTTTTATCTTGGCAGCCCATGGACACATTAGTATCAATAACTGTTTTTTCGCCCCACACAGATTAGGAAGGAAAAGGATATATATATATATATATATATATATATATATATATATATATATATATATAATAGTTATACTTGAATATATGTGTATATATAAAAATATATAGTTATATACATATCTATAACTTTATTGAATAGGGTCTACAACAAAGCCTTTTCTTTAAAAAAGAAAAGAAAAAGCATAAATAGGATGACTTCAAAGTTTTGGCAAGAATCACTTTGCTATGTGGAGATAAACCTAAAGTCCCCAGAGCTCCAGGCTCTGTCCTAAGAGCCACAGTGAGCACATAGCCACAGCTGCCTACTAAGCATTTACTTCTTCTCTTTGTGTAGACAGAGATTCTATGTAGGATGTTGTTTGCAAAAGTCTTCCAAGAATTAAATATATTAGAAAACTACTAGATTATAACAAAGTTTCTTAAATGCTGATCCATGGAATAAAATATTATCTCATGTCCATTTTCTCCTGTAGAGTGCTCTTGATCTACTCTAAAAATGTGTTAGACTAAAAACTCGAGCTAAGATTTGGCCATCAGATGTCCTCTACTGAGCCATGGAAGGAAGCCTCTGGAGGCCTTAGTGCCCGAGGCACCCCACTCCCTTGCCAGTGTCTTCATTGCTATGACTGAACATGTGAGAGTGAGCAGAGGTCTTAGCACTGGTACCAGCTCCCTGGTCTTTGAAGGGGAAGCAATCAACTACTGATTACAGACAGACAAGGTCATGGTCCAAGGATGTGACTAGACATGAATGTAGAGACTTGTTCTCTATGAAGTCTTTTCATATTTGGGACATCAGCCACTCTCAAGGAGGGTCCGGTTCTATCCCCAGCAGACGGAACTTGCCTTTCCCTGGAGGCAGGTCATCACCCTCTGCCTCCTCACTATCCTGGTACTGCTGATAAACTTCGAATAACTTCAAAAGGCAGTGGCCTTGAACTCCAATCCAAATCTCTAACCCCCTCCTGCTCCAGCTTACCTGCCTCAGGTATGGGCTTGATGGGGCTACTCTCCCAAGCCTGCAGTGGAACTGCCGTGTGGGGTGGGAGCGCACTGTGGGACTCCAGCTCAAGGGTCCAGCTGAATGGGGTCTGTCCAGCCAGGGGCTGTTCTGCCCGCTCACAGCCATCCTGTCTGCCCTTGCCTGCCCTCCCTTGCACTCCTACCCCCACCAAATCAAGAATGTTGTATTTCTCAAACCCCATTTCACAGCTATATTGTTTTATACGGCCCCTCCAAAATACCTTGAATGGTCCCTTTTTATCGCTCCCATTTTCTGAAAACTCCAGCTGCTCCTCTGAAACCATCCAAATCTAATTAACCACAGAAGCTGGAGTTGGGGAGAGTGGCTCCCTTTCGGGTCCTTAGCATACCCATTCAGGCCTTCTTTCAATATGGGCACAAAACCAGGAATTTCTAATAATTGTATCTATGGGCCTGGAAGGGGGAGGAAAAGAAAAAGCAAAAGAAAGAAAGAAAGCTGCTAATAAGTGGGTCTGTGAAAGGAAGGGGGTCAGCCTCTTGCATGAACTTGGCAGCCTGGCCCCGAGGAACTTGGAGACAATGCCACAGGGGATCTAAAAGCTGAGCCTCCTGACTCAAATCTTGTGAGAACGTACCCAGGCTGTGAATAGAGATCAGAGTCTGGGCTCTAAATTGTCCCAGCTCAGACTCATTGAAATGTCTTCTCACAGGATTAAAAGAGAAGAGGGCCGGGGAAGTTTGCTGAATACCAATGAGGCTCTGCTTAGAAGTGCAAGATGGAGAAACTCAGATTTTTATTCCTGAATGACATGGATTAAGACAAAAGAAACAAGTTGGGCCATTGCCAGGTGGCCCTGATAGGAAAGGGCCATGCTCCTCTGCCAGTCACCAGAGTGGAAACTACCTGGGTGAATGCCACTGTTGGGAAACCACCTGCTCGGTCCTCATATCTCTGTTAGCAGGTGCAAAGTGAGACTTGGAGGGCGAGGAGCATCAACGTGCTCTCTCCTCTGTGTTCCTGCCTCCCCAGATTGTCATCTGTCTCCTCAAACATCCTGCCCCAAAGAGCCATGTACAGATAAACAACCATAGGCATTACGTCAATTCCTTTGGCACCCCTGTGACCAAATACCTGAGCCAAGCAGCCTAAGGGTCTATTTTGACTCACCGTTTCAGAGGCTGCATCCCTAGACTCTGGGTCCATTGATCCTGGGAACACCACTGTGGCGAGCTTAGAGAGCCTTATCTGACAGCAGACAGGTAGCAGGGAGAAACAAGAACAGGAGAAAGACAAGACACCCACCCCACCCCTGTGCTTACTTCCTCCAGGGAAACCCCACCTCCTACAGTTTCTAAAGTCTCCCAAAACAGTAGCATCAGCTGGAGAGGAACCATTCACCACGCAGTCCTGTGGGGGGGGGGTGTTTCACATCCATATTGCGACACCCATTCTTTTCAGTCCTGTTCAAATGCAAGCCAGGCCCTCCCTATTTCCACTGAGACCTTTGCTCTGACCCTGTGCTTCTTTCGTGTCTCTGGAAACCACTCTCAGTGGATCAGCTTCATCTGGAAGAATGTTGATGGTCTTGCTGTTAAGAAAAAAAAATCCTCAGGGTTGTACATACAACACAGACTAGGTGACACACTGTTTCAAACAGTGCTCGACACCTAGTAAACACGGTACTTTCTTATTTCTGTTATCAATGGTGGGCTAAGCTGCCTCTGTAAGAATGGGGAAGGGCTCCCTTTTAAACAGGAATTCACTCACAAGGCATTACAGGTAAATTTTTACCACAAAGCACAGCCCCTAACTAATAAACCTTTCTCTCATGGGTCACCCCTTTTCTCTACAAAGCCCCTAACTAATACACCTTTCACTCACTGGTCACCTCTTTTCTCTTAGTGGTGATACCCTAAACCCAAGAGAGGCCCTTATATGTAGAGTAACAAATGGAACAGAATGATTCACAAGTCTTTGGGGCCATTCAACCTTCTTTAGATTATGTCACCAGAAAAATAAGTCAAGGGGATTCTCCAAGTGAGGAATGCAGGGGGGGTTTCTCACCCCACTGCCTCCTCTGCTCCCTCCACCCATCAGGCTCCAACACACGGACTTCTTCAATCCCCTAGACCTTATTCCTGGCCCCAGCTTTACACAGTTAGGATTAGCAGTTTTGACTGCAGGCTCCGATTCTGCCTTTTTCTAGCTCAATGACTTTGTCAACCCATCCCACCATGTTAGTCTTCTGGTCTTGCCTGGGAAACAGTCAGTGTAGGAGTTCTTGCTCTATATATCTTACAGAACATTATGGAATCCAGTGGGATCCTATATATTATTTCTGTGGGTAGCACCACTCATTTCATTTAATCATTTGTTAAATACCTACTGTTTACTAGGAACTGTGCAACATGCCCTAGCAACATGAAAATAAACAAAACATCAGGCATGCACCCCATTTTTGTGGAACTTGAAGAACACAAATCATAAAACAAAACAGAGCATGTGACTTCATCTTAGGACACTTCTTTGCTTTTTGCTTGGAGAAGACGTTGAAGATGTGATTTAGCACAGGCCTGTACCACATCCTCAGGTCACTTGCAGCTCCTACTTTGATGTTCTTCCCCTATGCTGTATAATTGATATTTGTGTGTGTGTGTGTGTGTGTGTGTGTGTGTGTGTGTGTGTGTGTGTGTGTGTGTGTAGAGGAGATACTGTCTTGGGTAGTTATAGTGACACAAAAGCTACAAGGACTGCATTCAAATTCCAGCTCTTCTTCTGACCTATAACAAGCAGCATGAGTGTAAACTATTATTGCTCTTACTGATGTCATTGCTTGAAATTGCTGTTCCAGACTTATGGATGGACTCCCTTTTGCACACTAAGCACATGTGAGTTTTCCAAGTAGCCCATTCAGGGTTGCAGCTGGAATGGGTGATCCCAGAAGCAGAATAATCAAATGCACCTGGGCAACACAACAGCATCACAAAGGGGAGAGACGTTTAGTGATAAAAACAAATAAATTCCATCAGTATTGTCAGAGTCAGCGCCACCATAGCCTTCCTTTTCTAAAATCCATACCGTGAAGGAGCATGTACCCTTAAGCAGGAAGAGACACTTCTCCTTTCTGGTGTCTGGACAAGGGCCTTGGCTTCTCTGGTCAGGGTCCTCAAGCCTCCTGTGCTCACTAGAGACTGCTTTTACCATGATCCATCCTCCACTGATCCAGCGCTTCCTTCCTGGTCTCCTTTCCCTTTGTTCTCCTCCCCTTTGGTCTCTCCAGCAAGTGCTGGCTGGATCAGCCTCAGGAAAGATGATAGCTGAGACTCTTCTCTGCCTATCCAGATAGAACCAGGTAAAGAAGCTACATCGGAATATTCTTGGAGCGAAAGACACTCAGGCACCACATGCTGAGGACCTTTCTGCTGCTGTTCTCACCTGCATCAAACCCTTTGAAATAAGTGTGGCCTAACCTCAGCAAACTGTTAGTTTCACAGCTGTCCCTCACTTCTGCATCTCTTTCCTGAATCTTTCTTCTTCTCTTGGTGATCTTTCCTAACCTACTCAGTGGCATCCCTGGATGACCAGGAACACCAGCTCTGGTGTTAGACATAGCTCTACCTGCCAGAAGCTGTGTTTGAATCTCTTCCTCCTGCTTCCTTACCTATATACTTTCTCAGTGCCTCTCTCTCGTTGCAGGGAGAATTGACTCTGCTGGTAATGGCCTCTTACTTATGAATGTCAAAGTACTCATGACTGCTAACAGAGTAAATCTGCTTCACTAGAGTAGCCTGGACCCTTCAAAAGAAGAAATAAACCTGTGGGAGGGCAATTTAAGGACAAGGAAGGCCAAGTATGGTGTTGGTACTTTTTCAAATCACAAGGCATTCAAAGGCCCAGCATAAATACACACACCGTGTAATATGTGATGCAGACAGCCAGTTGTCCAGCCATATGTTAACAAAGGAAGGTGTGGATAAGACTAGAAACTTTTTGCATTTTATATTTTGGATATGTAGTTCTCATGCATTAAATTTTGTAACGTATCCTCCCCATTTCACAGTTGTGGAAATGGCAAGCCAGGGAGGGGAGATAATTTGCTCAGTCACACAGGGAGAGGAAAACATGTGTTTGTCAAAGAAATATAGAAGTCTGTGATTTTGGGAAAACGACCACAATTTGATGTATGTGAGACAGAACAATGGTTCCCATAGTTCAGAGGAACACTGGCAAACTCTTATGTCAATATACCTTTCCACTTAGTTTTTGAATTCTCAGGTGCAAGCTGAGAATCTTTTGTGAATGCAAAGAATGACTGCCTTCTCATTTTAAACAACACATTGATCGAATCAATGAACAAGTTGGCTGGAATGTCATCAGTCTGTGACTTAAATATTGTAGTGACCTTTGCCCTTGCAAAGGTCATTTTACCCCAGTGGTATATGTTGGATTTGACTCCTACCAAGACCACTATATGCATCTTTCTTCAATTCTAACTTCAGTAACCAAAAGGTCATAGCTTGAAATCAGTCACAACACGAGTACTCACCCAATGGAAATGAGCAAATGGTACAGATTGTCATTGAGCCAATTTGCCAGCATCCTTCCTTCCTTACAGGGTCTCTAATTTATCCTGACATCAGAGAGTACCTGGCTCAACTTCAGAGTCTCCAAGTTCAGGAACTGTAATCAGAACAAACTTTCACCTATTTATCTACAGAGAGGTACTGAAGGCTTACAGGTCTTTTTGATGAATCAAAGGCACATCATGAGCTCCTGGTCACCATCTGAGAAACAGAAGCATCTGGGTGGCTGTGATCTTTCATGTCCCTTTACTGCTCTGCACATGGTCATTTCTCATTCCCATTGTGGGGATTCAGGATATGACAGACCCTCTGGGAAGATGTAACCCTGGAGAAGGGAGAGGCACAGTCTAATGTTTTCCCTTTACCTAAAGACTTTTTGCAGATCTTGTAATCAGTGCTTATGAACAGCACTAAAAGAGGCAATATGTTTCCTTTAATGTATACTCTGTCCTGTTGTTGAGTTTGATGATATTAGCATATATGGAAGGTGGAGCTGCCGGAGGGAATGTGGGAGGGAAACAGAATACTTAAAATAACAGCTATGTCCTTAGATACCTGCACTAAG